TGCTGAAGGCAACGCGGAATTTCGTGGATAAGAACTTTTAAACCAAAGTTGTCTCTGTCAAATTTGTTTTGTCTAAAAATTTTCACGGAAAACAGAGCATTATCATAATTTTGATCCCGGGGCGTTTTTGTGGCTCATAACACGTATGTTGCCATTGTAATAGCTCATTAAGGACTGTATAAAAAGTTCATTTTTTCTGTTTTGTTAAAAGCTGTGATAACTTGAGGTTTCTTAACGTCGCGGTCTAAAATAATCTGGTATCAGAAAATAATTTCTGAATTCAAGCGGCTCACCATCGCCTCTCCCACAAGATCGCCTAGACCATAGGCGTACGGGCAATTTTTTGTCAGGGGGGGCGGTAATCCATTTGCCCAAAAAATTCTTGCAAGTTGCCCAAATTTTTACAAAACGGTCGAAAGGAAACTAAGGCCATGCAACAAAATAGGCTGTACTGGCATAATATATAGATTTAGCCAGGGCTAAAAGCGAAGCTCCAACTGTAATAAATTTATAATTTAAATCAAACAACAAACTTTTAATCCACAAATCATTCAACTTAAGGGCACATTCATGTGACTTTTGAGGGAAAGGCTAAGTTATTTTAGAGTGAAACATCTTACATCGAATTGATAACATTATATGTACACCCGAAAAATAGCAAACATCTTCGATCACATTCAAGATCACAGTAGATTAGGCCTCGAAAACAAATTCTTGGAAAACAAATCACGCCAAATTTTTTTGCGTTCGACAGGTTTACTTTACAAATTCTTGCCAACAAATCTGGGGGTGTTTAAACCAACCTTTTATAATTTTTATACACCACATTTGAGGTGAAACAGTACTATTTATCATACAGAGCTCGGACAGAATGCGGTATTTCACAATTTTTCAAGACAAGTTGCACTCAGTCAATATTCGGGACGAGCCAAACCGTTCAAAAATTTCAGAAAATTTCCAAAATCACCCCTACAGCCAGCTGGTTCTCGTTTCTATAGTGCGAGCTGTCAGTGTGGTCGAGTGTTTGAATGAACTTTAACAGAGTTACGCTTCAACATAATAGCGAATTTGTTATTATTTGTTTTGTTTGATACGCGCGACATTTTTGAGTACTCCTGCAAGCGATGGTCATGAACGATGAAAACAAACGGCACGGACAAGCGATTAAAATTGCAAGAGAGACTACTAACAATCAAAAAAAGAGATATAATTCCGTGAAACATTTACAGAGACAAGAATTTTCATTCATGAAGACAAGTATTAAAGTGTCTCTAAAAATCCTGAGTCTTTCAGCGTAAAGCTTAAGTTTATGTTTTAGCCGGCTTCCCAGCGCGGTGTTTACTGTTTTCGAAGGTGAACTCCTCGAAGCAAGAAAATCGCTCAAAGTTTTCTTTCTACAGCCAAATTTATAACTAAATATCCTTCGGAACGTTTTCTTTCTATTTGTGGTGAGCAAATATATCTGAAGGCTTTTTAAAGTTCTGTAAGCTTATATGAAACCTGCTACTAGGTCAGATCATTGACTCAAATCCTGCAAACGTGCATAAACTTAACGCATAAACTGTCAGCGTGAACAGTGCAAGACTTCATGAAACACAAACATCAAATACAATAATTCCTTAGGCTTACCATTCGAGATTCAGTTCCTGAAAGCTATCAAGGGAACCACAGTTGCTTGAGACTTTTAAACTCTCTTACGCATTAAGCAAGGTGAAAAACGAAAACGATGCCATCCGAAATCGAATTACCGAATTTTGACAAGCGACGCATTTCTCAACCAAAACCCGGTAAACAAACCAGCCATGAATAACAGAAGACTCTTGATAGCAGCTGTATTTCATTTTTTACCTCCAGAGGAAAAAGACAGTTAAAAACATCACAAGTTGACACAAAACTCTGTCAGCTTCAGCTGTCAAAGTAAACTATTTTTAAGATGCTGCATAATTTTTCCGCATAAACTCACCTGTCAAGTTTTGACCAATCAGAGCATAAAAATTGGACGTAGAGCGTGACCAACGCGTGACCATGGTAAGATAAGGTCTTCCCCGCCTGTACTTTTCAAAAAACTGGATGAATTTTCGCTTCCGAGGTCAGTTTGAAATCAAAATCCTTATAGTGCGGGGCCATAGTGACATAAACACAACATATTTGATATGAATCCTTGGAAAAAATAAACTTGAGCCTGCGATCATTTCAAACTGGTAATTTATCAGCGGATAACTTTAAAAAAATACTCGACCTCGATGGGTCGACACTTGAGCCCGCGGTACGGCCAGGTGATACTTGTCAGCGGATACCATGTTTTGATAGCTGTCAATTGATCACAACATTGATGTGCAGCCTGTGCAATTAGTTTTCTCTTGGGCTCCCAAACTAGCTAAAAGTGTGAGAGTAAACATTGGTTTTCCTGTGGTGCGGACGGACGGCGGGCGGTCGGTGTACGGTCACGTGATTACCAAATTTTCTGGGATGGGTAGATTTACTTAGCAATGGGGCTCCGCCCACGCGCGCGCGAAGCGCGCGCGTGGAGCTCCGCTATGAAAGTGGCTCGATACAGTTTTTCAGAGTCAATACCTGCCAAGTTTGAGCATAAACTACGTCGCCACAAACAAGCATTTGGAAAAAATTGCCACCACAGTTGTATTAGATAAAGAGGGAAATTTGTCATGATCAGGATTGCACTGACATCGGAGCTGTCATAGCAACGAAATGACGCCATTACCTATTATACTTGCAGCAATATTTCTCACTGGGAACTGTTCTTATAAAATCGTTCAGGGAAGCTCTTTCCTCCAATAGTCGCCTCGATGTTCGTGAAGTTAAAACGGAACTGTAAGAGCGTTATCGAGATATTTTGGGATGAAGTTTTTATTGTTAGAAATAAGGTAAAAAAGGAAAATCTTGATGTTTAGAAAACGGAGTTTCAATCTTATTAAAAACGTGTATAAAAGATCATGGAGATAGCTCCTGCCAATTGCTATAAGGAAGAATTTGATTAGCGCTCGATCTTGTTAGGGGTTTCGTAAACATTTCGGTCTACTTAAACAAATTAGTGAATAATTTTTCAACCCTCGATAGATTTTTTTAAGAAAATTATGATTCTTCTCGTAATTCAAACTGAGAATTAGTCAGCCACTTCACTTTCAGACCCATTGCTGAAGCGTGTTCTGCCACACACTGTTCTAGGAGCGGAGGTGATTCTAGAAAGTTATGCGGAGGTTTATTCTAATCAATTCATGACTGGAAATAGCCCACTCCAACTAGTACAGTGAAGTACAGTGCCCAACAACAACAAAAAAAAATCAGCATATGATACCCTTCCCTTAAAACCAAAAACTCATCACGTGCTAGGCAACCACTGTCTCGTGTGAACGTAACTGAATTATTACGCCGACTTCTGGTTAAAATAGAAAATATTTATGTCTTCAAAATATAATAATAATAAAAAACATGGAAACGTCTTTAAAAACTGGCTTTGCCCAAGTTTTCTCTTGCTGCCCAAAAAATCTGAGTTGCCCAAACTTTGGGGGGGCTGCAGCCCCCCTCGCCCCCCCGGCCCGTACGCCTATGGCCTAGACTATTGGATATACACCTCTAAGCCAATATTTGAATTCATTACCTGCCCACTGAAGTATTGATTTGAAACCATTGTTAAAGTTCGGCTGATCTGCCTGATATAATTTAACGTGTCCGTACGATGGCTACATGTGTGAAAACATTGCTTTTAATAAGCACTTTGTAAGACGCCGATTCCGAGTAAGCGAAAGTCACAAATTGAAAAGTTTGGTGAAGAATTTCCTCTGAGTATGAAGAGAAGTTTCATAGAATAAGACCAAGATGATTTTGATTGTGTTGCCTCTGTTCCTCGCTAGCATGACAACAAAAGTTTACGTCTATTCGTTAAGGAAACAAAACTTACAAAGTTACGTGACATAACTCTTGGCACATACGATTACGTACTTTCGTCATTAGAGATGTTTCGCCTAGCATGTATTGTTGCTCCGTGACTCCTAATTCAGCTCCACTGGGGTTGGCTTGGTCATCAGGACCCCCCCCGCCCGATGTTTTTTATTGTATAAACCATTTCTGTGAAAGTCAGTGTCTTTCTTCCACCTTACTTACTGCGTGGGGGGCACAAACATTCCACCCCCCCCCCCCCCTTCCAATACAAACGTTTGTACATTTTCGACACTTTGCCTCCCCAGTCGCTATATCTTCGTTCGCTTAAGACGCGTAACTTTTAAATTTGGCAGTTTTACTAATTTTAAGGCGTTCTTTCAAGTGGTGTCCACGGATTTTCGCGAACTGATCCATGTGAAAAACTGAAAAAACCACAGAAGGTTCCTATTTATTTGATATACATGTAGACTAGATGCATGATCAAGTATACAAGAAAAAATGACTCGATAAACAGCGATTTAGAGTTTTATTTTCGGTACGTACTTAGAGAGAGCTACAAATTTATTTTCTGCTTACTAGTTTGGTTTTGTATATAGTAAAGTCTAGTCTACCGAGTGCGAGTCTAGTCCAGTTTAGTTTGGTCTAGTTTAGACTAATGAATTCGCCAATATTACTAAAAATAAACTTGTACAAGTACGGTAAAAAAAAAAAAAAAACCACAGTAAATCAATGTAAGAAGAATTAATACGGTTGCTCTGAGTCGGAATACATTATGATCACAGATCATGCACAACTAATTTGAGGTGTTCCAATCCAAGTTCATACTGTCACCTATCGTTTCATTTTCCAGCGTCTCGATTGCGGTAAAATGACTAACTACTTCGTCAGCATGTTTTTATTCCTTCGTTAACAGTGACTGGAATTGCTCCGAACCCGGAAAGAAAAATATTTCCCATCGCAAACAGAACGCTTTAGAACATTTGCATGGTTCTCAGCTTTGGAACTACTCTGTGGCTGGTGAGAACGGAACTTTCGTCCCAACTGATATTAGAACTCTCTCGAATTAGATTAGGCTACAAGAGTAATTATTAGCAAGTTAGTTAAGAAAAGTCATCACTATCATCATTTAACTTTTTCGATAAAAAAGAAAAATGAGCAAGTCTCATTATCAGCATTATGGCTCCAAGAACAGCAAACAAACAGACGCAGATGGTGACTGGTAAGGAGTACCAGGTGTGAGGGAAATGATTGAAATAAAACAACAGGATCATGATGATGTTTTCTATCACAAACAGTACGTTGGAAAACAACTGCATAATTCTCAGTTCTTTCTTTCGATTTTCTCTTGGTACCTCATGTATTCTAACTGCTATGTCATCTCGCAGCCAATGAAGGCAGAAATAGGAAGCTATTAAACGTGCAGCTTCCAGTGCTTTGGCATTACACAGTGTTCGGGGATAAAACCAGATGATACCACAGACCACTATCGCCATAGAATGGAGAATCAAAACTTTGGTAATCCACCACTTGTAACGTACGTTGAACAAAGCAATGGCAAACAGTCGACTGCTCAAAAGGGATACATGCGTTGTAAAGCGAAGTAGTCTGTGTATTAAATTTCGCCCCGCGTTAGCGCCACCTGCATTGTAGTGAATGAACTCATCGCCAACAGTAGACGCCCAAGCCAAGCTGAGGAAAGACACGGGCAGGGAAACCATTTGGACGATCGTCACGGATTGCTGTTGAACAACCATGGCGTACAACTGAATAATAAACTGAAGAGCTGATTCAAGAGTACCCTCAAACAGAAGCGCGACATTGCTCTGATGCAATAGATCATCATCAGCTTCTTTGTCACTATTTCCTGAATCCATTCCTGAAACTTTATTGCCACGCCAGAAATTCGTAAATTTCTTCAGGTAGGAAAACAGTGTTTGCAGTTTTAGAAAGGCTGGAAAGAATGGATTTGCAGCGCAAAGGATAACTTGCGGGCACCTCCTAGCAATGCTGACCTTTTTCAATTCAGATCTTTTTAAAACATAATAAGTCAGTAAAAACACAAAACAGGGCAAAAAGACGAAAGTGAGGCCTACACCGAACCATGTCTTGTGATCCTCGAGGTAGAATTCCACCAGTGTGAGAATATCAGTGATGGGGTCGGCAAAGCCTAAAATGATTCCGGAAACGATCAAAAATATGTCGTGCCGTTTGATGTCGTTTTCCACCATTGCTGTGACCTTTCTTAATGACTCTTAAATTCTAGAGAGAACTTTTGTCTGGGCCGCTTTACGCATTGATAGGTTAATTTACAAACTGACTGTGACCCGTAGAATGCATTCATTTTGAGTTACTATGGAGCTCAAGCAAGGGTCTGGAAGTTGTGCTTCGTGTGCGGTAGTTTTGCCCAACTTTTTGGGCAAGTCGTTTCTATAAGAGTAAAAACACTTAGCAATACAAATTTGGTACCGTCAAGGCATATTAGAAGGGACGAGACCTTTATACTTCCAATTGACGTGCGTCAAAAAGCCATATTCAATACTTGTTTTATTATTGATGGAAAATGTTTGTTCTTAATAAGAAGCTTACCTCCTTGTAGAATTTTTTTTAAAAGTTTGGCCTATTTCTCGGCCCGGTTTCAGGATATAAAAAGATGTATTTTCTTGTAGATACGCCTCAAACAGTAGATAACATCCATCGAGCAAAATGTTTTGCGTATTCTTGCGTATTTTCCGTTTAGTTTTAATCAGAAATTCAGCTATTTTAATTAACTGACAGAGAAACATCGGAATACAGAATGTTAGTCGGGAGTGCAGCCAGTGTCTTCTGGGACACATTTTCATTGAACACATGAAGAACTAAAGAGTTATGTGTGATCAAAATTAAAACATCACGACGGTAGTAAAAACATTACTTTTAAAAGTTTAGTCTAGTTTATCTTTCCAGGAGATTCGTAATAATTAAAAGACGGAATCCACCATGGCCAATTCGTCTCAGGAGACGAGTACGGTGCCCTGGAATAAGCAGGGGCACCCAACCACGGTTTCCTCCTAAATGCAATAATATCCCGAGTACTTTTAGATCGCTAGAAATGTATTCTAAGTGGCGCTAAAAAACTTATATCTGTTCGGTGATCCTTGGGCAACTTAAATCCTTTTTAAAATACAAGGGCTTCAGTATTCAGAGTATTATTTTCCAGAAAATTTTAGCTGTAATCTAAAGTTTTAGGAAAGTGAGAATTTTTGTGATTCCTCTCTGCATCGCATTTTCGATTCCGAAAATGTTAGGTGGGAGACAATTAAGCTTCAGAAAATTGTAGGGAATTTGTTAGATAAGCTTCGAAAATTGTACTTGAATGGAAAGGTTTTTAGCCTTCCTCAAGCTATAGAAAGTTCTAGACAAGTTTTGCTTCTCCGGACAGATATTTCACAGAAAACAGTCGTTGGGTGCCCCTAAATAAGCGCCGCACTAACCAAGTAAAAAGAGACTTAGCGCACAAGAAGCACGAGGATTTTTTTTTCTTGCTCTCACGCGTCTCGAGCGCTTCTCCCGCTTGCTACAAGGAAACTGAGAGGATTGCTACGCGGGTTTATAAAGTGTCGAGTATTGAGAGAGGTATACATGATCGATCATTCCCGTAAGTATCAACTTTTAATCCCATGACAGAGGAATATCGATGTTTTGACACTTCATCTCGTCTGAAAAAAAACACAAATGGCTTGTATAGTAATCCCGTCGAGATTGCAGCATTATAAAACGAGGGTAGATTATAGTCTGATCTTGTATTGGCCAGTGGAATAAGAAAACGTAAACAAATGACTTCAGGTTAATTCCGCCCTCACGATCTTTGCCTGAAACATGAAACGAAACTAAATCACATTTTAGTATCGGAATGTAATGAAACGCGAAAATAAAGAAAACCCACAACCCTGTATTATAGCTCGCAGTCACCAAAGCAGCTGCAAAGAGTCGACTGCTCAAAACTAATAAATTCGTTGCAAAGTGTACAAGTTTATTTCTCATATTCAGCTCATTTTTTCTCCTATCATCATAGTGAAAGACTTCATCAGCAACTACGGAAGCACGAGCCAAGTTGAGAAAAGACACAGGCAGGGAAGCATTTTTAGTTTCACCAAGGCTGGACAGAATGGATGAACACCAAAACGGAACGCTCGTGTGAGAATCCGTTTGAAATTGCGGGACGAGTCTTTGTATAAATTGAATGTGCAGTGAACTAGGAAATAAAGAGAACATAGCAAAATAATAAATACAAGCCCCACAGTGAACCATTTCTTGTGATCTGCGCGGTAGAATTTCACCAGTGTAAGAATATCAGCGGTGGGGTCTCCAAAGCTTAAAAATAAAATGGTTCAAAAAAAGAGCCAAGCAGATGTCGCACCATTTGAGTCCTTTTTCCCCCACTGCTTCGACCTCTTTGAATGACTCACGCTTCCTGTCTGAGATGTAGTAGCTGTGTATTGATTGGATATTGTGTGAACAGTCTGACCCTTACTGAGTTACATTCATTATGGTCATGTGCGGTTTTAAATGGAAAACTACTCAGAGTGAAAGACAGCCGAGAGTTCGCATTGAAGTGGATTTAAAAGGGAGTCGAATATCTGTCACAGACAGCAAACTCAGCTCATGAGGAATGTTAGTTTGAAGGTCACATGATAGGGGAACTAGCATCTGTAACAAAGATCTAGACTGGCAAGATATTCAGATCTCTCTTAACACGCACCTCCATATAGACGTACAACTTGCTTAAACGGACATTTAGAGTTGGCCCTGTCGGCTTTGTTCGCTTTATAAGATGAACATTTCTTTAAGGACGCTTTCCAAAAGTCAGAGCCGGGCCGGCCAGACCATAGCAAGATCAGTCATTGACAATGAAAAAACCTCTATTCCAAGGTCGAGGTTTTGTTGAAACGCCATTTCTCTCATGCATGCTATTTGGGATCTGGCTGATTTTGATGAAAAGTGAAGTTCTCATTATGACTGCAGTGGCGGATCCAGACCTTCAGATAAGGGGGCCCCGGTCATCAAGATCCCGACATAAGGGGTGGGGGTGGGGGAGACTGGTTTCAAAAAAAAAATTTCTCGGCTCTTCCGGCCTCAGTTTGGTATAAAAATAAGGGGGGCGCGCCCCCCGGGCCCCTCCCCCTGGATCCGCCACTGGACTGGAATGCTCCGGCCGGTCAGCTGTGACAAATGGAAACCACCCCAGGACTGACACATAATGCGGCTGGTCCTAAAGGTGCCTGCCCTAGAGATAGTTGGCCATATGTATTCCTCTTTTCTTCCCAAGGGAAAAGACAACCCTCAGGGATACTGATATATAAAACTTCTTATATCCTAGTTATTATCCCTTCTGTGGCAACCTACGCAACCCATCTTGTCACATGTTTATTTTACAAAAACAGTCAATGCCATTTAGACACCCCCTCCCCCCCCCAACTTAGTATACGACGCATCTAAGTTTTCTTTTCTTAGTTTACAGGCCCAAATGGTCTCCAAAGTTTCTTGAAGCATCATTTCCAGAGTTACCAAATCTTTAAGGTTCTATACAGGGGATGGGGTCGGCAAAGGTTGAGGGACAGGGCATTATTTTTTTGCCCAGGGTGGGTCGGGGGATAATAGGAGATTTTTAGGAAAAAGTAGCAGTTATGTTTGAGAGAAATTACCATCAAGGTTACAAAACTATAGCAAATGTATATTATATGTAAATTTTCATCATGCCTTTCAAGAATTGGTCAGACACTATAGTTGATATGTAATTCATGCAGGCAACCATATGAAAAGAAGGAATCTCAAATTTGTTTTACTTTAACCGATACGGCTTGTACAACTTCATCGAAATAGTATATATGTACAAACTGGTTCTGACACTCTTCTCCAACTCAAGCTCTTTATAACTTAGCTTGCACAGCAGCAGGTAGAGCTAGTTCCCCTTTTTATACTACTACATGACAAATTTCTGCAATTTGATTGGCTTAGAGCAGTAGTATTTCAGCTTAATTTGAAATACCCACATGTGAAAATTACAAACCTTTCGCGGGTAGTAGTATAAAGAAATAATAGCATGATTTGTACGTGATATTTGGCATAAATACCTCTCGTGATATTTCAAAATTGTCTCAAATTTCACTCGAGCCGTTGAAATATCACTCGTGGTATTTATGCCAAATATCACTACTAATCATGCTATTACCTATACAAATTAAGCCTCACATAACTGTAATCCGGATCGGCTGGAAAGACGAAAAGTACATTAACATGACTCACGGCGATCAGTTAGCTCACGGACGCGACCAAATCTTCTAGTCCTATTTTGAAGGCTAAGGTCTTGTAGCTGACGCGTTAAACCACAGTAGCCAGGAAAGTATAAAACTCAAGCTACAAAGAAAAAAAGCATAAATATTAACAAAATCAACCTTTAAGAAATACAACTGCTTCGGTTTAAAAAGTCCTCACTCTTCATGCACTGATTTCGTAAAGTTTTGTAGAAAGTTGCAAGGTTTCCCGGTTTAAGCAAGGTCCAAAAATGAATGCAAACTCAAATTGGTGCTGGTGGGAAAAACCTCCAGCCCTGATTTTGATGTTAGCCGTTTTTATTTTGAAGTTTGATCAAATCCCCCTCACCACCCCTCCCCCCCGACAAGATCCGTCTCAGAAAATACAGTACGCTCTTGTATTTTTTAGGAAAAATGAAATAGTAACGAATTGTTAATTTAAAAGAGGGAGAGTAAACAATAACACTGATTAAGACAGCTTTTCTGATATTCATATTGATATAAGTGTTTGAGTTTGATTTCTTAATCAGAATCGCCTTGCAAGCCCATCACCTCCTTACCCCACCTCCCCCCTAACGCTGTTCTTCTAAATATGGTCAAAAAGGGGGTGTGCATGGAAAAAATGTCAAGCCGCCGATTTTCCAGCGGTAAAATATGGCGGAATTAGAAGAGGCCGAATTAAAACTATCACGCTGTTTTGAACGTCAGAAAAGAGGTAAAATTAGTCTTTCAGAACGAAAGAAAAATAGAAATATTTGATTAATCATGTAAAGTGCATTTTATTGCATTTCAGGCAAACGATAATGAGCTTAAAGCTGCTCACAGACACATGTGCATGTTACATCAACCTGACAAACAGATCAAGATTCCTGCGGAAAAGAAAGTAAGGTTTAAAAAAGCTTAGGCCCTGTTTTCACTAGTCAAAATTCTGTTTCCTT